TTAACTCCCCTTATTCAACCTTTGTGTAAATTCGGTGCAAATGCAGTGTATATACAACATTTAAAAAAAGTCTCCTCAACAAAATAATTGACCTCACTACTTTTACAAACAGGTTAACCTAGTGCAGCCATAGGAATTCTCAAAAAAGTATATTAATTTTTTCCCGGGGTTGCAAAGTTTGCAAATTGGAATGGGTTTTGACAAACTGTACATTGTTGTACACTCCCGAATATGACCTTTAGATTCTGAGAAGAGTACGACTACGAGTACGAGATTTTCGCAAAACTAAGTAGGGCTTGCGCGTGAACCAGCGTCATTTTGGCGGGAAAACGTGATTGCGTCCTCATTCTGCTACGAGTTTTAGCGAGAACGTCGTGGTAACAGAAACAAGTTGTAAAGTGTTAGAGGTTTTATCATTTTGCGGCCGGGGGATGGCTTAAGCTCCATAAGTAAAGATAACAGTGCTAATTTTTCGGTCAAAAAGAAGTGCAATGAAGCTTTACGGGGTGTCTATAACTTGAGAATAGGTGAAAAAACTTTTTCAAATCTCGTAATCGTGGTCGTTCTTGTCCTAGAGACTTGACTGTCGTAAAACCAAAACCAAAGTAAATACACTAGCCAACCAAAGGGCGTAGTAAAACCAAAACCAAAACCAAAACCAATCCCTTTCGACAGTCTAGTATACATAATACGGGTGGATGTTGAACTGCGACATGATGGACAGCACGCACAACAACAGCTGGCAGCTGTAGAACAGCAGCAACAGGCAAACTAAACAGAGAAAAACAAACAAGGCTATTTTGTTATAACGCACTCCTGTCACCACATTTTTGACAGATAAGAAATTATTGGATTTCGCTTTCATGATATGAAAAGTTATGCAGATCTTGAAGGGCATAATCAGATAACACTCTCCACGATCTGTATAATTCTTCATATCATAATTAGCCTCCTCCAATAATTGCTAATTATTGTTATGGTAATAAAAATAAAAATCCACACCCTTTATGGCATCCCTTAACCCTCCCCATTCCAGAGTTTCCACAATTTCATTCACAACTTCAAAAAATTTTGATCTACCGATAACTCCCGCAGAAATCAATGATGACAATTGCGACTGATAATAAAAGATCACTAGCATGATAATTTGAAATAACACCGTCTTGTCAAGACGTATGAGGGGAAACTGGACGATGTGATCGTTCAGACAGCTTATAAATAGCTTTTAGACAAGTTTAAGTAACCTTGGAATACCTTGAAAATTCACCAGAGGGAAAGAGGAAAAATGCACTAGCACCTGCACCAGCTAGCTGTATTCGTTGGAAAAGTTGATGTATTATTATCAAAAGACACAATTCATAACTTTTATCGATACTCACCGATGCAGCGGTACAAACAATTGAACCCATTAAATATACGCTTCACCAGAACAAACAGAACTTGCACTGAGAAGAACGAACTTCAATACAGTATACAGAATGACTCTGCATACACAACATCAACAATTCCTCCAGCCTCGTTCCCAGTCGTCCTCGGCGATTTCGGGTGTGACGTCACCGATAACGTCACTGTCACTCGCGCTTGGTTCCAAGCCTCCCCTAGTAACTCGGATAGCGCGAACTAGCCTGGGTACGAGGCTGCAATTCCTTTATCTTCGTAACACTTCGGTGATCTTCGGTGGATAGTCGTTATTTTCTCGGCGGGGAAGAACAGTTTTCGAAGTATTCTTGTCAATCTTTGCTGTGACCAGGAGCCCATAACTTATGAGCTCCTGTTGTGACTCTTTGCTTGAGTAGAAATAGTCTTATTTTTCTTTTGTAGCCTGCGAGCAGGAGAAACAGCAGGGTCTCCTCCTTTTTTGTCAGTAATTTGCATAATTTTAACTTTTCACTCGCCTCGCGTGGTGAGGAAAGAAGGACGGCCGCTCGCGGTCCTGAGTAGAAATGTTTGTTTGTGAAATGTATTTGATCTTTTGTTTGTTTGTTGGTTTGTTTGGTTGTTTTTTTGCGCTGCCAGCTTCAGCCTCTTGCACTTTTAAGCATTTAAAAATGAGTAACTGCAGAATACCTTGCCACTCCGAAGCTGTATCCCTGAAAGAGCAGGATACGCGGGTACGTAGTTATCCCTTCTATGAGCTTTTTTATGTTCAGTGGCTTTATAACCACACATAGACATACTATATGCTGACAGTAAGTGGACACGCGGATACGCGGATACGTAGTGANGAATACCTTGAAAATTCACCAGAGGGAAAGAGGAAAAATGCACTAGCACCTGCACCAGCTAGCTGTATTCGTTGGAAAAGTTGATGTATTATTATCAAAAGACACAATTCATAACTTTTATCGATACTCACCGATGCAGCGGTACAAACAATTGAACCCATTTAATATACGCTTCACCAGAACAAACAGAACTTGCACTGAGAAGAACGAACTTCAATACAGAATACAGAATGAATCTGCATACACAACATCAACAATTCCTCCAGCCTCGTTCCCAGTCGTCCTCGGCGATTTCGGATGTGACGTCACCGATTGACGTCACTGTCACTCGCGCTTGGTTCCAAGCCTCCCCTAGTAACTCGGATAGCGCGAACTAGCCTGGGTACGAGGCTGCATTTCCTTCATCTTCGTAACACTTCGGTGATCTTCGGTGGATAGTCGTTATACCCTCCGCGGGGGAGAACAGTTTTCGAAGTATTCTTGTCAATCTTTGCTGTGACCAGGAGCCCATAACTTATGAGCTCCTGTTGTGACTCTTTGCTTGAGTAGAAATAGTCTTATTTTTCTTTTGTAGCCTGCGAGCAGGAGAAACAGCAGGGTCTCCTCCTTTTTTGTCAGTAATTTGCATAATTTTAACTTTTCACTCGCCTCGCGTGGTGAGGAAAGAAGGACGGCCGCTCGCGGTCCTGAGTAGAAATGTTTGTTTGTGAAATGTATTTGATCTTTTGTTTGTTTGTTGGTTTGTTTGGTTGTTGTTTTGCGCTGCCAGCTTCAGCCTCTTGCACTTTTAAGCATTTGAAAATGAGTAACTGCAGAATACCTTGCCACTTCGAAGCTGTATCCCTGAAAGAGCAGGATACGCGGGTACGTAGTTATCCCTTCTATGAGCTTTTTTACGTTCAGTGGCTTTATAACGACACATAGACATACTGTATGCTGACATTAAGTGGACACGCGGATACGCGGATACGTAGTTACAGAGTATCCGCGTATCCACCTGTTTTTAGGGGTTGCTTTAAAGTGGTATGGTATTCTGCAGTTAACTGCAGTACTCACCCTGCTACTTCGAAGCTGCATCCCTGTAAGAGCTGGATGCGCGGATACCGTGAATTGTCCTTTTTATGTGCTTTTCTACCTTCAGTGGCTTTAAGAACGACAGACATACTACAAGCTTTATTTGCCGTCTTAAGTGTATATCGAAGTGGATTGCCATTTGGAAAGCTAACTTAGAAGCCGGCTACGCTGCTCGCGGATAGAAATTTATTCACGATGGAAAGCTATCTTAGAAACTTACGGGGTACGCGGAAAATGATTAATTCAGCCAGCGTGTAACAAAGGATGCAGTTTTTAATTTATTCCTCACTTAGTCCGCGTAGCCGGCTGCGCAGAATATTCGTCAAGTGGTACGGTATTCTGCAATTAAGCCGAAAAGAAAGATCCCTGAAGAAACCCTCGACAGTGTCTTAACTTGTCCCGAGAGAGCCATCCAACAAACGCATAAAACCTTCAGTGCAGAGGAAATGACCGCAACCCACCCATTAGTTCGTTTGTGGACTCTAAAGTACGCTCTGACGCCGGATTAGGGATGGTGTAAACCACTGCACCAATTGAAAGAAACTTTTCTTTTGTAGTAGTTGGGAGCAAAATACACTGAAAATACCCTCCGCCGCCCCAAATATAATCATAGTCGATCCTGAATAGATCTCAGTTGTTTGGAATAAAATAATAGTATTACAGTTAGAGTACATCAATACAGATAAAGTACGACACCAGTTATGAAACGTTGCTTTAATTTGCACACTCTACCAGCTTTTCGGGGAAGCAGTAAATACTATATATCACAAGGAAAAAAAATTACGACATTGATGCAACTACACTTTGTAAGACTTAACTCCCCTTATTCAACCTTTGTGTAAATTCGGTGCAAATGCAGTGTATATACAACATTTAAAAAAGTCTCCTCAACAAAATAATTGACCTCACTACTTTTACAAACAGGTTAACCTAGTGCAGCCATAGGAATTCTCAAAAAGTATATTAATTTTTTCCCGGGGCTGCAAAGTTTGCACATTGGAATGGGTTTTGACAAACTGTACATTGTTGTACACTCCCGAATATGACCTTTAGATTCTGAGACGAGTACGACTACGAGTACGAGATTTTCTCAAAACTAAGTAGGGCTTGCGCGTGAACCAGCGTCATTTTGGCGGGAAAACGTGATGGCGTCCTCATTCTGCTACGAGTTTTAGCGAGAATGTTGTGGTAACAGAAACAAGTTGTAAAGTGTTAGAGGTTTTATCATTTTACGGCCGGGGGATGGCTTAAGCTCCTTAAGTAAAGATAACAGAGCTAATTTTTCGGCGAAAAAGAAGTGCAATGAAGCTTTCCGGGGTGTCTATAATTTGAGAATACGTGAAAAAACTTTTTCAAATCTCGTAATCGTGGTCGTTCTCGTCCTAGAGACTTTTTAAGACCTACACTCTAAATTCATACACACGGCATTGATTTGTCACTTCAAATAATTTCGCTGGTATATTTTGTAGTCCCACTGCGGATCCCAAAGAAATATTGCAACCATGTGTCTTATTTTTGTTCATTCAAGAAGAACTATTTCTTAGCTTCGGCGCACCGAAGTGAACCCTGCTATAGACTATTCACTAGTAATCAGACAGAAACGAAAAATACTTTACATAAGTAATATTGATGTCAATAAATAGCAACAAAAAGTGATTTAATCTGCAAGATTTTGCAATTCTATAAAAAGTGTGCAATTTTTTAAAAAGTGTGCGGCAATTCCTTTACTGGAGTTAATTTGACCATCACCACACCATTCGGATTTACTTCTGCCATAAACATGTCTTGGTATTTTCCAAGATCTTTGTGTTCAAAGAGATCACGGGCCGTAGCCATTGACGAAGGCAGTCCAACCTGAAATTAACCAAAGAGATTTTACCGTTCAAAGTCGGTGGAGGAAGCCTGACCATTCCCACCCTGGTTATTTTTCAGCCCCCTTCCCCAGTGCCCAGAGTAGTTTTGTCCCTTGCCCAGATCTCGCTTGCCACGTCTTCCAAAATTAGACGGCCCAAGGCGATTTTTTCAGCCTATTGGGTGAACAAACGGTGCTTACCATTTCAAATGATGCAAACATTGTTCCTTTGTACTGTGCTCGGGAAAACAAGGCGACAGCTACTGAGCCATCATACAAAGGACGAGCCCAGACTTCAGTCTCTTCACCCTGAAAACAACCACAAAGACAGACTTTAAAAGTCAAGGACAGGGAACTAGCCTGCGTAACAAGTGTTCAGTTTTCAATCGAGTTATTGCACGAACGTTAGAGGGAGAGTAAAAGAAATGGAAGATCGAAGGGGGAGGCGGAAGGGAAAAGAGGAAAAGTTTCACTCCCTCCCCTCCCCATCTTTCCTCGTTCTAGCACTTTACCCAACGTTCTCGACAAACTCGCGCGCAAACGCTTTTTACGCAGGCTAACAGGGAACTGACCATAAAACGTTTCAGTTAATTCATGAGAAAGGTTATTTTGGATACCCAGTTTCAATCGTGTAGCCTTAAAATGTAAATTTACTGAGGAACGATGGCTCTAAGAAGGATGGATCATGATCCATTACTCTCATGATTTTCACTATGAACTGAACTCGCAGTTATTGCAAAAGGCACTTCTGTCAGTTGCCAAAAAAAAACCAACAACAAAAACACTGTGCTGTCAAAATGATGAAGGCGAAGGGCATCTGAACATCACTGAAGCGCGTTTCACAAAACGCCAACATGTACGCTACTAACGAACTCCTTGCCTTAAAAACTCTTCGTCCCATTTTGCAGAGTTTGTCCTGATTTACAGCGATGACTTCTCTGAAAATGAATTAAAACATATCAATAACGGAAGAATGGAGGAAAAGCATCGGCAGAAAGCTGTTAAGTCTGTTAAGTGTCTCTTTAGCAGCTATTGTACGTAAAAGTAAGTGTACAACAATTATCAACGTTAGAAAGCGGATGCAGCGTAGCCGATCTCGCCCCTTCTCCATTCGGGCGCTGCTAGGCACTCTAAGCATTAAACAGACAAGTTGCGATAAATTGAAAATGGTTACCGGTCATCTCGCCCCCAAGACATTTCGCCCCGGTTACTAAGCCCACTATTCCAGAACGAGGAATGTTATATTTGAAGCGTGCTTGTTTTGGTTTATGGCTTATAGAACGAGGAATGTTGCATTTGAGGCGCGCTTGTTTTGCTTTATGGCTTGGAGAAATATTACATTTGAAGCGCACTAAATGACTCGAAAATAGGGGGCTAAGTAACCACGGCGAAGTGACTGACTAGGGAGCGAAATGACCGGTTGCCATTGAAACTCACTCTTGGCTCCAAGGATTGGAGGAATAATTTATTACTAAAAGAAATCACATTGAGTTTCAGGTATGATATATACATTTCTTGTGTTTTGTTCATTTATTCTCTACTAAATAAGGCTCCGAATAAATGGAGAAAACCAAGCCAAGTCAACTTTACCAAGTGTTTCTATGAGGAAACAGTTGACCCCTTTGTCCGAGCCAACAGCGAAAGCGCATGCTCTGACTGTAGACAACAGAGCTCGCGCATGCTCTAATTGTCTCGCCTAGAGCACACCCTGGCTGGTTGAGGCAAGTGTTTATATGGAGCTCTAGCCAAAACAACTTTTTGTTTCTTATGTGTAAATGGTTTGCCACGTTGTGTGAGGAAATGTATGAAAAGTTGGCGCATTGGTAGCTGGGGTTGGCGGGTGACTTTTCTGCCCGGGGCAAAAACTTTTCTCTAAATAAACGCGTCCTGGGGGAATTTCCCTGTTCAAAAACAGCAAAGAAAAGACTTTACCGGTTTTGTAATATTTCTCTAGCCCAGTCTGGGAAATCGCGGAGGTCATTGGACATTTGTAGAGGCTATAAACAAACAAAATAACAAAAAAAGAGGTTAAAATTAGCAAAATCCCACAGTTCAAGAGAATTTTAAGAAAAAGCACTATTGCTTCTGTAAACTGAAAACTCGTGAGCTTACCGCAGCCATAATGGCCCAGATAGCAAACTGAACCTTGGACTCATCAACTGTCAAGCCTCGATCCCCAACAACAAGCTGTGAACCGAATAAAAAAATTAATTAATTAATATATGGGATAAGAATAATGACTGCTGCAAACGTAACATTAGGGCCATTTATACGAGGAAAAATAAGACGCGAACTGTACCATTTATACGAGCATGTCCTATCTAATAAGACGCGTCTTGGCTAAGCCGCGTCTTATTTTAGGCGAAATGTGCCGTTTATACGGAAAGTTCGCGTCCTATTTTTCCTCGTATAAATGGCCCTATTGAGTTAAACACAAAGCACTTCCTAGTAGCAAGTGTTTTTCTTTCACGTGGTTTTGCCACATGGAAGGGAGTCCGGAGTCTGTAGTCCGGAATCCTGTAAATCCTGGGCATTGGAATCCAGAATACAGCTTAAAGAATACCACTAAAGTTTGAACCTGGAATCCAGAATACACGGCATGAAATCCAAAATCCAATGCTGTCTTGGATTTCCTTACATGGGGGTGACTTGGTTAAACAGGTTTGTTTGTAAAGGCCAATTTACACATATCAACAGTGCTCTTCTAAGTACCTGATCGGGATCATTCCACTTGCCACACCCAACGGCTGGGATGATATCATCTTGGTTTTGACCCATCCAGTCTATTATGTACTTAACTCTTCCAAAGTTTGTCTACAGAACGTAAACAAAACACAAAAATGACAGTTGTAAAAAGTAGTAACAGTTTTAAGCCTACAAAGCAAGACACCTTTTCTCACTTTCGTTTCACAAGCTCACAAAAGCATTTTATCAAATACTTTCCATTGTCTTTGATGTAAACAGAGAAGCAAACTTATAAGTCCTTGTTACATCCTGAATGATTATACAAATAGGTGTTTGCAGGGGGTGGAAGAGACGAGGTCTGGGACTGAGAAACGGTGTTCTCACAACTTGCAAAGCGGTCACCCTGCATGGTGATCAGCAGATAATGGCAGCATTTTTCCCACAGTAAATATTTTGTTAGATCAAGAAGCCACCCAGCAGAGAAAATGATTAAAAAATTGAATAAACGAAACAGTTCCGCCTTGAACAGCAATGTTTTTGTTCCTTCTCAAAACTGTTGATCTATGATTTTTGACGTAATGCACATGATCAGTACACAAATCCACTGGCAAGACCCTTGCTGATTGCTTTGCAAGTTGTGAGAACATCGTTTGGATTTCATTTAAGAGAATGTATGGGGAGTACCCCCCCCCCCCCCCAGGGCTTTGCTTTAACAGGCTATACTATTTTCACACAATTTTGTTTTCACAGTTAATTCACATTGATCCTCTTTGTCATCCCTTTATAAAGAGATAAACAGCTGGACAAAACCTTTTTGAAAAGTGAACAGAAATTTCACTTCCCAATCCTCTTCCTTTTCCAAATGTCTCAGTGAAAAAATTTAATTATAATTTTCTTCTAGAGTGTTAATTTGTCTGGTCATTTCACTGCATCCTGAAGCTGATTTGCTGCAAAGCATTTTTGGTTTCACTGCAAGAGTTGTGACGCTTTAAAGACAAGTTGATGCAAAAAGACCCTACTGCGAGATGACTTGTAGCGAAAAGACCAGTAGCATGGTACTCACATCCATATCCCACCAGGAGCGCCATAAGTTACAGTTTTCAGCAACCTGCATGTAATTTGGCTGTTTGATAAAAACAAAAACTATTTTAGTACAACAAAAAGCTTTTATGCTCAGTGACTTCCAAGAAAGGGTGGAACAAAAAAATCACTAACACAATTATCTTTCACACAGTCTCATTCCTTTTAATGGGAACACATGAGTCCATGGCTTACCCAGTGTGCAGACAGTCAGTTAAATTAGTGGATTCATATCTCAATAGAAATTCAGGCATCGTACAGGTAACATAGAACACAAATCCTTATCCTATTTCACTCCTGTACAGCATTATTGCAAGATTGTCAAGCCCTAACCTTAAAATCTCTGTGGAGGAAATCCTATGGTGTTACCATTCAAATGAAATGTCTTCAGCAGTACTTTCACAATTTAAATTGGTACTATGTATGTAGTTCTAACTTTTGAGTCTGGACAAAATTCTATGGTGTTACCATTCCAATGAAACTTCTTTGGAAAAATGATTGTATGGCACTATTTATTTCTTACGAGTCTACAAAAAGAGGAATATTATTCTTTACCAACTATTAAAAGTAAAAGGATTGAATTGCATTTCATAAATGCAATCTCATCATTTCAAATTTAATGGCGTCTATAATATATTCACTTAATAAATATCAATGTTACCTTTTCATTTGTTTCGCTTTTTAATTCGTGAACAATACCTTTATATCCTTAAAAGTCTGGTCTGCTGGCCAAGAACAAGAAAATACAATAGGACGACCAGTCTTGTTTAAAGCCACAGTCACTTCTGGATAAAGTGTACCAAATTTTGCCTCAACTGAATTGCATCCATCTAGTTTAAGATAATCCACACCCCAGCTGGCAAATGTCTGATTGAATGAACAATGATCAGTAAAATTAAAGCTGTTAATAAATACAGCAGAATGCATAAAATGAGTAAAAAAGGAGGCTTGTCTAATGATCGAAGAAGCCTGCTTAGCTATTCCTTAGCGACATCCCTGAATATTATGATTTAGATTCAAGGACTAATTATACGGCACATGAAAACAAGACAAAACATGGCATCCATCCAGTATTTTCACATAAAAAAAAGAGTTCAACTATCCCAAAGGAATGGCTTTGTAAGCCAACATGGCTGTCATTTCATTGTTTTGGAGCACCAATATAGCAACCATGATGCCATTGTGAAAATGCTTTATAAAAGGAAGTCAAGTTAGAAAAAAATCAATGCAACCAGCAACTCACATCCATGTCCTGCTGAAAGTGACCTGCAGTTCCTGGAAATCCTGCACATGTTCTAGTTCCAATATCTGAATAAAGTACAGGTCAAAATTAAATTCAGGTCAAAATTTTTTAACCTAGGTTGATTCTCAATTTCCTTTGTCTTCTAGCTCTAATTATTTTTGAATTAGGGCTAGGAGAAAAGGGAAATTGAGAATCAACTTAGGTTAAAAAATTTCAACCTGAAAAAAATTTTGACCGGTAGCATATACATAAATACCAACCAAGACACAGTATAGGCATAGGCATGTATATTCAATAATAATTGATACCACATGAAAATGAGTCAGGTAATTAAAAAACCCATTAAAATCACACAACATTGTTTTATTCTGGGCCTGGAAGGGTATATTTGGGATTTGAGATTTGAACAAAATACAGTGAAGGAAGTGGGATTTGGGAAAATGCAAAATACCTTGACGGAAATGGGATTCACTGGGGATTTGACTGCATCTATGCAGGAAGCAGGATTCACAAGACTTTAGGCATGGGATGGGGGATTTAGTCTTGCCTGTCTGTTGGAAATTCCGGAAATCATATGTTCTAGCAGCTAATGTGAATCAACCAGGGGAGCATACAGTGGTATCTCATATCAAGGCAAATTATCTAAACTGTCAAGTAATCAACAGACGAGCAGACAGAAGACCCACTGGCATGGTTAAACCGAACACCAGGAAAGTGCACCTCCTGTTAGCATAAAGTTTGACGACCTGTTTTTTTTTTTAAATGTCTCTCAGCTCTGCACCCTTGGATCAGACAGTGATAGTTTTGGTGTTGTTCTTTCTTGCGCATGCCCCAGGTGTTCAGAAAGTAGTTCTTTCTTGCAATGGCCTTAAAACTTGCGTAAATTCAAAATATCATCGAAAGGATCAACCAACCTCTTATATTTATAAGCTTCTGCAGCAATATATCTTTTAACTTAATACATATTTTGGAAACTAAAAACGTGATTTGGGAAAGCCAGAAAAAAAGGGGGGATGTGGGATTTTCATGAAAAAGGAACAGGAGTGCAGGATCAGCCCCCCACCACCACCACCACCACCACCACCACTTCCAGACCCAGCTGTTTTATTATTGTACACTACAAACACACCTGCATAAATTCCTAGCTTAAGGCCTTTGGAATGGACCTGGATAAAATAATGGTACAAATAAATAATATTATATAATTACCATTTTACACTCAAATATGTTTTCAAAAAAAGAAAACAATTTGCATCCACCCTTGAAGTGTGACAAATTTAATACACTTTTGACCAGTGAGACATACAGTTGGGATGTGAAACCAACAACATTTCCAGTGCCACCGACAAAGTCGTTTTGTTCATGCATTCACAAGTTGTTAACTGTTAGGCTTTTGTGTAAGATGAACTATATACTGGTACATGTAGACTCAGGATAAAACCAACAACACAACTTCATGTGTAACAAACTTAAGACATTTTGGCAAACAGGTTGTTAATTTTAAGTCCTAAATTGATCAAAAGTGACACATGACCATCACCAACTTGTTAATTACCATTAGCTTCTGATTGGCTCAGTGGATTGTTGGTACGCATTGTGATGAACCACAGACGTAACATTACGAACTTTGGATTTAAATTTATCATTGACAATCAATAATAATTATTGATTGCTGGAAACAGCTGTATTTCAATTATTCATGACCGACCAATGACAAGTTGGACTGAGAGCCCTTAGGACGGTTTTGGTAGATTTCCCTGAAATAAAATTCTTGAGGACCCAGTGTGAGTTTAGAGGAGAGAAAAAAAGAAAAATATGTAGCCGTGCATTGATGGCAAAGAAATGTACAAAAAAGCGTGCTGCACTTGCAGGGTTGTTGTTTTGTTTCTTAAAACTATGGCTTTTTTGACATGTCAATCATTCCCATTGCCGTTGTTGTTGCTAACACTCTTTATTATAAACCTCATTTGGATACTCACATAGTCAGCAACAGCCTTCATCCCATTAGGAAAAGCTGTTGGATTTGGTTGTAGTTCTCCCCATGCTGTGCGATTGTGTGCCATCCAACAATCCTAAAATAATAGTAGCAGCTTTGATGTCATCAACAACAACAATAATAATAATCATCATCATCATCATAACGATTTAATAACCTATTCATGTATAGTGCCCTTTACATGTAATAGCCGATCAATAGCGCTTCACAAAATAAAAATTTAATACATATGTTACAAAAATGTCTTAAGTTTGTCCTTAAGAACACTAAGCATCATGACATTGTGCAGGTCAGCGAGTAGGCTGTTCCACAGAGCTGGTGCAGCAAAAGTAATAGACCTGCCACCAAGTGTCTTGTGTATTTTTTCCTGTGGAACTTCCAATAATAGGCTATTGTTTGAGCATAATGCTTATGAGCCCTTGCGCTTAAACTGTAACAAACTGATCACTAAGAAAGGATGGCGTCAGTCTGTAAATTGATTTGAAAGTAAGAATATTAGAATCTTAAACTTGACACAACAGGTGATAGGAAGCCAACGAAGTTTGTATAGAGTTGGTGTTATGTGTGAGAACTTAGGTACATAATAAATTGCATTTTATAGTGCTTATATTGAATTGCAACAACAGTGGAGTAGACCAAGGTCATACCAGTAATGCAGGCTGAGGCAGTTTTCATTTTATTTATAGTGATTTAACTAACCATGTGGAAACATGTACAAGCATCTAAATAATAGAATCAGAACTTTCAAGTGTTTGAAACAACAGTGTTATCTACTTTGGTGAACAATAATAATAATAATAATAATAATAATAATAATAATAATAATGATGATGATGATGATAATAAACTTTATTCAAGTGTCAGGTACTTTAGCTATGAAGCTAATTGGGGATACTATGAAATAAACAATATATAGGTAGAGCAATAAACTAAAATAATAACAGTTAAAATAAATAGTTTATATATACAAAGCAAGAAAGATTTAAGAGTTACATAAGGTGCATTCCCACCCACATTTGTTTTCTGTCAAGTTAACAGCCAAATCAGTTTTCCTAATTTCTTTTTAAATTTATCAATTTCAGTTAACGTTCTTAAGGCTATTGGTAATTTACGCCATGGATACAGACCAAGATATTTTATAGAATGTTTACCAAAAGTTATTGTGTTGAATCTAGGAATCATAAAGTCAGAATTATGTAGATTAAAGTTAGTATCGGATTTTTGAAAAGTACTGCCCCATTGAAAGTGGCACTTTCAGAACTTTACGTCACTTAAAGGGAATAAAACAGTGACACAAAACATGTACATCACAGTGGATTACTTTACTTACATCAATGGAAACATACTCATAACCAACATCTTTGTAACCAGCAGAAACAATGTGATCTGCCATTGTTTTTACAAGGGCTTCACTAAAAAAAAAAACCAAGTTAGTTTAACTGATATGTACTAATATGTAACAGGTAGAAAACTAACATAAAAATAACATGCAAGCAAAAGGTACCAAATTAAAAATTGCACATAGAAATCATTCAGCCATATCTAT